CAAGTCTCTCTCCTGTTGCTTCTTCTGTCCAAGGTCGTTCCTTGTTTCACTGTCCCCAGCTTTAGTAAACATCCTCTAAAAATCACCTGGACACTCGTGTTTTCAAATCTTTCCTGCATGAAGTCAAGAACCCACACACCACTGGCTGTACCTAGGCCGTCACTCAGGGTCAGGTCCCGTCCAGCAACAGGCTCATAGCATGATCTTAAGATCATGATATTATCAGAATAGTAATGATAATAGCAGCAGTATCATCTCTCAGCAGATACTTATATATTAAGTGCTAGACTCATAGTTTCTCATTTATCAGAAACTCCTGGGAGGTATATTGTTACAGGTAAGGAAACAAAGTCAGAGGCAGCCCCAGGTCCCAGCTTTTCATCGTGACTATTGCCTTTCTTGGCCCTTCCTTAGCATCCAGTCTCTGTCACTCTGACCTTAGGAATATGACTACTCCTCTCAGCCTCAGTTTCCTACCTATTAAATGAGGGTAGTAACCACACCTCCTGTGGTTGTCATGGTGATCAAATGTTAGTACTCTGCACATGCTACTATAGTAGTGGACCCCAGGATTCCGAGAAATCATAGAATGCAGGTTCACCGGGGCCCCCCACAGAACTGGGTTTCCTAAAGTGTGGAGGGGGATTTCACATATAAGGGAGGGGTTCCCAAGGTCAGGACCCTGGTGAGCGCAATATGGGTCTCCAACTTATTAACCTGTTTATTTCAATATCAAGCTTACCTCTGTCCTGTCCAATTTGAGAGCCACCAGTTGCCAAAGGCAACTATTGATCACTTGGCAATGTGCAGAGTCTGAATTGAGATCTATATAAAATATTGATTGTACATTGAAATTATAACTTTTTGGATATATTGGGTAAGGTTGTGGTAGACAGACAGACATGAGCAGAGCAAGGACAATGGGTCTGGTACAGGTGGTCATCAGGGCAGAAAGCCCTGGGTGCCTAGCAACCGGCAAAACAGAAAACAAGGACCTCACCCCCAGGATCACCTTTCTTCCCTTAGCATGTGTGGTATAGACCCCTGACCTTTCATATTGCTGGTCATTCGGTTCAGACCCTCCCCTGACCTTTCCTCCCCGGCATGTCGCTAGTCACGCAGTAAACCCCCTTGGAGGAACAAGGGGCCAGAGAGTGGCCTCATGTGACTCCCAGGCAGGCCCTTGCACGACCACTCCCTTGAGCATTAATCTCTAGGGATAACATCAAGGCCTCAGTTGTGTTTCAGCTCCAGGCCCAGAAAAGCAGCAAAACCAGACAAGCGATGCCATAACTGACATCAGGACCAGCTGCATTGACTAACGACCAATCAGTAGAGACCTTGACGCTGAAAGAACACACCTGGAAAGCTGATGAATATTCTGTTGGGATCCTTCTCTGAGACCTGGAGATAAAGAGCCTGGAGCCTAGGACCCAGCTCAGCTCTCTCCCAGGAGTATGCCCATATCTCTCCCCTACCCCTCTTCCTCCTCCTACCTTCTTCTATCCCCCAGGCACTTTACCTTGCCCTTCTTTTGCCTCTGTAAGTTGTTTCCTGACCTCATTTCTTCTGTGGCTCACTTATTCTACCTCTGTGACTTTCTTTTCTTTTTTTAAATCCTCACCTGATGATATTTTTTTCCATTGCTTTTTGGAAGGGGGAGAGAGAAAGAGAGAGAGAAACACTGATCTGAGAGAGAGACACATTGATTGGTTGCCTCCCTGCACATGCCCCAACTGAGGCTGGGGATTGAGCCTGCAACCCAGGTACACGCCCTTGGTCAGAATCGAACCCGGGACCCTTTAGTTGTGGTCTGTTAATTTTGTTCAGTTTCCAGCTATATTTATTGAGTGCTTATTGTGTGCCAGGCACTATGCTAAGAGTTTTGCTTTCATTATCTAATAACCCTAGGAGTGAGGTTATCTCAATTATCTCCACTACCTAGATGAGAGCTGAGGCTTGGCTGAGGCTTGCAGAGGTTATTTGTTCAAGGTCACAAAGCCAGAACAACCAGGATTCATACCCAGAGACTATGCTCTTCACTTCTTTTTTTTCTTTTTTTTCTAAAATACGTTTTTATTGATTTCAGAGAGAGGAAGGAAGAGGGAGAGATAGAAACACATCAACGATGAGAGTCATTGATGGGCTGCCTCCTGCACACCCCCTACTGGGGATCCAGCCCACAACCCGGGCATGTGCCCTGACCAGGAATCGAACCGTGTCCTCCTGTTTCACAGGTCGATGCTCAAGCACTGAGCCACGCCGGTGGGCTGTGCTCTTCATTTCTTTACATGTTTCCACTCTGGATGGCTCTACCAAGAAATCAGAGATGCCTAGGACAAAATTTGGAAAACAAGGATTAGGTATTTATTAAATAAAGGCCTTGACATGCAAAACTGTGCAATATGTTGGCTAAAATGCTCCCTGCAGAAATGCGGACCTGAATAGTTCAGTCCTCAGCTTCGCCTGATTGAATGGAGAGAATCACCGGACTCATCCTAAGACAGGATGTCTCAGCTCAAAGTGAACTGGACTGGGTATTTACTGCAGAACTTATTCAGTTATTTGCGTTGAGACCTGATGAAAGCAGAAATATTTTATAAGGGGAACATTAGCACACTAGCAGCTGACTATTGAGTGGAGTTGATCGCATTAGCTCCAGTCTCACCTGTGAGGGAGAAGGTCCCTTTGGCAGTGAAACACTGCCCCATAAGTGTGGATGGATGAGTTTGGGTGGACAAGAGTATGAGATGCCAGGAGCCTTGGGTATAGGGGAGGTGAAAGTTACAACACTGCCGCTAGTGAATCTGCAGCTCAGATTGTAAAGATAAATGGCTGGGGCACTTAGGCGTAGTGTAGACTTTGGAGTTACAACCAAGTTCAAATCCAGCTTTGTCTAGTCTTCACCAGTTGATCTCCAACAAACCTCTTCACTTAATCACTAAGAAGGAAACTGAGCCTTCAAGTAGTTATTGTGTTCCTACAATGGGCCAGGGCTAGGGCTAGGTAATACTCTCTCCGCCCTGCTGTTCTGAACATTTCCAGTGAGTGAGGCAATTTGTCCGAACAAAGCACTTCAGCATTGTATGCAAATGGACTGTTAAAGAATGGCACAACCACAAATCTGCTGGCTTTTCCTTGGAAACTGCTGGGCGGGAAGCCCTTAGCCTGCCCAACCTCTCTTCTTCCAGAAAGCCTGCCTGCCCTGACTCCCCTTCCCCAACCCTGGGTTAGGCATCCCTTCTTAAGCAGGGGGCACCCTGTGCTTCTCTTACAGACCTGGATTCCAGTCCTGCTTGTGCCCTGAGCTAATCACTTTACCTCAGTTAACTCTAGTCAAATGGGGCCAATAGCAAAGAAACTGCTTAGCACAGCTCTTGCTTGGCCCAGGGGCAGAGCAGGTACTGAAGAAATGCTAGCTGCTACTCTTATAATTACTCAGCTTCTGACAGCAGCACTCTGGCCTGGGTCTCCGCTGTATCCCAGCACCTAGCCCAGAGCTTGGATGAGTACAGAGCAGCCGCTCAATACATGGTGTTGGTAGGCCGAATAACGGTCTCCAAAGATGTTCACCTCCTATTTTCCAGAACCTATAAATATTACCTTACATGGCAAAGGGGAATTAAGGTCGCAGATGGGATTAAGACCGTTAGTCACTGATTTTAAAATATTCTGCATGAACCAACTGGGCCCAATGTAATCACAAGGGTCTGACCTTTAGAGAGTTAGAGGACGATGTACTATGGAGAACCAGAGAGATGACAGCATGAGAGACTCGGCCTGACCTTGCTGGCTGTGAAGAATGGAGGAAGAGGTCACAGCCAAGGAATGCAGGAAGCTTCTAGAAGTTGGGAAAGGCAAGGAAATGGATTCTTCCCTAGAGCCTCCAGAAAGGAATGCATCCTGCCAATACCTTGATTCTAGCTCAGCGAGACCTGGGAGGGACATCTAAGCTACACAGCTGCAGGATAATACATGTGTGATTTCTTTAAGAGAGTCTTGGTAATTTGTTACAGAAGCATTAGGAAACACATAGTACGTGGTAAATTACCGTTCCTTTCTGTTACTGCCACTAAGCTGTTGGCAGCCGTTGATTCGGACTTTTCTCTCCCATTAGTCTATGAACTCCTGAAGGTGAAGGAATGTTTGTCTTATTTACCATTGGTTCACAGGCGCTAAGAGGGCCTGGCACACAGCAGGCACTCAATAAATGCTATAAATAATAACATCTTTTATAATTTATGAGTGTAATTGATATGAATAGTAAATGTCTGTTTCCTTCAAGGCCTTCTACAGGCCCAGCACACAGCAGGAGCTCAGTAAAAAAACCTGTCGGCGCAGCCCCCTCTCCCGTGACCCACCACTCCGGGCCCGCCCATCCTCTCCAGCTCCCTGCTTCTGCACGTCCCCTCACTCTGGGACCCTGCGACCTCCTTAAGCACCCGAGGCCTCCCTCCCAGCTCCCTTTCCCGGGCGGTGAGCTCAGAGCGCTGGGTTCCAGGGCTCCTCGGAGGCCGCGGGGCGCAGTGCCCGCCTTGGGCGGCAGGGGGCGACCGTGTCCCGGGAACTCCCGCCCGAGGGTTGGGACGGGGCGGGGCCTCGGGCGGGTCGGCTCAGT